ACTTGGAGAACACCAGCGCTTGCCCTGCCACAAAAGCCGATTCTCGAATGAGAACATTGCTCGTGATTCCTAGTCCTCCTTCACGCATGGGTAGGTGCACCTGCGCCCGAGCTGTCCCTTTGAAGAAATCTACCTCCTCGCTCTTCGTCGAGTCTGCGCGTACCTCTTTGACCGTTGGTATTCTCATGCTGTCGGCCATCTTGCCAAGGACGATCTTACTCATTGCCCACATCATCATGTTGTCATGTATTTTTGCGGCAGAGTTGGTGATAGACGGTGCAATCGTCCTCAGCAGATGGAACAAACGTGGCACACCAGATAAACGCAGCAGTTGATAGCTGACTTGGGGGTCGTCAAGCGTTGCTAGGCGGAGTATCAATTCCGCCGGGGGGCGATTTGGAAACGAAATTCCTCTGGAACTCTTCTGTTCCTACTGGGATCCCGACAACTGGCATGCCACCTTCAGCAACTGACAGGCCAATTTTCGTCAATTGTTGCTGTTCGTTTGTCAAAGAGGACACGACCTTCGGGGAAAAGCACTTTGGATTTCGGGAGACTGAGGTCAATCCCTTTTTGGGAGAGACGTTCCTGAATCCAATTCGTTACGGTGGACATGGCCTGCATATTCCTAGCCAAACCTGGTGGAAGATGTGCTTGGAGGTCGTCGACGTATCCATGTCTGTGTAAAGAAAATTCACCGGCACTATACCGGACTTTGGCACTATTCAACCGGCACTATATCGGGACACCTACTGTATTTTGATTTTTTGGTTTTTCTCCCATGATTGGACTCTGTCGTCTGCCCCTCTGGCCCCTGTCATCCACTTCTACTAGCTAGACGACCCAACCGGGGTCACACAGGAGGGGGGGATTGGACCCCCTCCTGCGGTTCCTGCCTGAGATATTTTTATCGCGAGAAGGGTACAGCAATCCCTTCTCTCGCGACCTACGGAGTCGATTATGGTTTACTAACAACGAGCTTTGCAGCGCGTCGTTTTCATCCTAGACCAGGATTTATTCAGTGAGAAAAAACTCACGCTGCGGGGACTCGAACCCATGACCTGGCCCTTAGGAGGCTGCGAGGCTACCCACTAGACCACCGGGGCGACCGGTGTATTTGATTGTAGAGTGCCGGCGATCCCACCTTTATCGTCGCGCAGTAGCCGCCCTCAAGCCGCTGCTCGTGAGACTAGACTTCGCGATCGCCGTATGCTTGCCACTTCGATGCCTGCAGCCTCGTCTGTTTCCACTGCATCCGTTTCCGTAGCCTCGTCTACGTAATCAGTTCCGACTGTTTCCTATGCATCTGTTTCCGCAGTCTCGTCTACGACTGCAGCCTTGCCTCTTGCTGATGCCTCTGCTGCTGTGGCATCTGTTTCCGTGGCCTTGTCTACGGCCGCAGCTTTGGTTGTTTCTGATGCCTCTGCTGCTGTCGCATCCGTTTCCGTAGCCTCGCCTACGACTTCAGTTCCGACTGTTTCCTATGCATCTCTTCCCGTAGTGTCGTCTACGGCTGCGGCTTTGTCTGTTTCCGATGCCTCTGCTGCGGTAGCATCCTCTATGGTTGTGGTGCCAACTGCCGCTGATGCCTTTTCCTCTGTAGATTTGTCTACAGTAGCGGCCTCGTCTGCTTCTCATATACCCCCTTTCGTGGCTTCGGCCACGTCTGCGCTTTCGGCTTGTCCCCCTTTGCCCCCACGAATGCTTGCAGTCTCCCCAGCTGAAGATACATTTGCCCCCTTTACCTCATCCATGCCTGCAGCATTGACTGCTAGAAATGCATCTATTCCTTTGGCGCTGCCTATGCCTGCGTTTATGGCCGTCCCATGTGGTCGCAACGCGCGTTTCATGCCCGCAGCTTCGGCTACTGACCGCACAGCAGTCCCATGCCGGTAGTGTCCTCTTCACCAGCATTTTTCATGCATCCAGTGCTTGCATGACGAGTTCTGGTTGCAGCCTCGACTGGATTCCCTGCGTTAGTTGCCATCTCGGCTCCTCTAGCACCGACCTCGGTTTCTCCAGCAGACACTTCTGCTGCTGCACTTGTTACTTTACCTAACACGGTGCCCCCCCCCCCCCCCCCCCCCCCCCCCCCCCCCCCCCCCCCCCCCCCCCCCCCCCCCCCCCCCCCCNNGGGGGGGCACCGTGCTCTCTTCCCCCCTTGAACGTGCGGCCACGGCCGCTGCCCTTTCTCGCCTTGCGATCGCAGAGCAACGAAACCGCCGACTGTTCTCCATCCTTCAACGTCAAGCGATGGCACCTGTCAAGCCTGAGGATACGTCCGCTGCTGCTGGTCCCAACTGCGGGCGTCCACGACTCCTAGCGGCTCGAGGTCGAGCTTCACTGGGCGTCCGACTTCACCGGTTCGTCTGCCGGCGTCCCTACCGGCGGCCTCCGCAGTCTCGACGGCTCCTGCCGCCTCGACGGCACCTGTGGCCCCAGCCCACGACGCTGCCCCGGCGCCGGCGCCGCTCGACTGTCCGGCACACATGAGCTTCACTCTGTGGGACCTCGTAGACCACTCCACGCGGGTGTACGCCTGCAGCGAAGCCGTTTGTCGCGAAACCGCTCATGGGGTCGACCAGGACCGCGCCACCGTCGCTCGCAACCAGGACGCGTTGGTGGACGCTGAAAATCGCCGCCGTACCTACCACCCGCCGCGCCCAGATCGAAGCGTTCCAGGCCCGGCGCACCAAGCATTCCGCCACCATGCTCGACCTCGACCGCCGACAAGCCCAACAGGAGCAGCAGAAAAGCGAGCTGGCCGCCACCTTGGCCAGCGCCCGCCGCAAAGAAGACGCTTTGGTCTTGGTGGAGCTTGCGGCACAAGCGCAGTGGGAAGGGGACCTGAAGGAGCAAACCGTGCGTTCGTCCTCCTCCCAGCGGTCTACTGCTACCGGAGCTGCATCGTCTTCCCAGCCAGCCCCCGCCCTCTCTGGCCCCCCTTCGGTGCAGTCTCCGCCTCGGGTCTGCTCTTCCACGGCCGCTCCGACTTACGCTGCTGCGGCAGCGTCCAGCCCCACCACCCGCTCGGCGTCGGCACGTTCGAGTCTTTTGGTCTTCGAGCCCGGCGACCGTTCCTTCTCCCCGGCTAAGTTGTCCGACGTTGCACAGGCCGTCCACTTCAATTGTGCGGAGGGCGACCGCCGATTGTTCATGGAAGTCGCAGCCGCTGCGGCGATCGCTGTCCCGGCGGGCTTCACAATTCAGGATGCCGTCACCACGGCTAACGATCTCGCCCGGATCATCGCGGCCTCGTCCGCGCGGCAAGCTACCGAGCACGCGTCTTCGCCGGTGGTGTGGCCGAGCTGCGGAGGGGCGATGTCGGAGGCGGACGCTGGGTTTGCTGTTTCGAAGGCCGGCCGGTCCAAGTCCAAGCAGGCTCATCGGTCGGGGAAGGTGAGCGGGAGTTCCGGCGACGAGTCGGGCTGGAGTTCGGCGGGAACCTCCCGCCACCACTAGGAGCATATTTCGTCCGGTGGAGAAGGACGTTCGCGCCAGCCGGCGAAACGGCACACCAGTGGCTCCCGGAGCAGGAGCGATGAAGGTGGGGAAGGGTCAGGGTCGGATGGTAGCTTGCCCCGCAAGCACACCGCTCGGAGGGGCTCCTCGTCCAGGTAAGTTGTTCCGTCTCCAGTTCTAGTCAACTATGTGTGATAGGATTAGAAGTGGAGACGGAACAACTTGCGTGGAAGGGGAGCCCTTCCGAGCGTTTGCTTGCGGGGCAAGCTACCATCCGACCCCGACCCTGCCCCACCCTTATCGCTCCCGCTCCGGCAGCCACTGGTGTGCCGTTTCGCCGGCTGGCGCGAACGTCCTTCTCCACCGGACGAAAAATGCTCCTGGTGGTGACGGGAGGCTCCCGTCGAACTCCAGCCCGCTCGTCGCCGGAACTCCCTCTCACCTTCCCAGACCGATGTGTCTGCTTGGACTTGGACCGGCCGGCCTTCGAAACAGCAAACCCAGCGTCCGCCCCCGACATTGCCCCTCCGCAGCCCGGCCACACCACCGGCGAAGACGCGTGCTTGGTAGCAACCAGGTCGCGGACGAGGCCGCGATGATCCGGGCGATCGTTAGCCGTGTTGACGGCATCCTGAATGGTGAAGCCCGCCGGGAGAGCGATCGCCGCAGCGGCTGCGACTTCCATGACCAATCGGCGGTCGCCCTCCGCGTAATTGACCTGGACGGCCTGTGCAACGTCGGTCAACATCGTCCGGTGGAGAAGGACGTTCGCGCCAGCCGGCGAAACGGCATATCAGTGGCTCCTGGAGCGGGAGCGACAAGGGTGGAGCAGGGTCGGGGTCGGATGGTAGCTTGCCCCGCAAGCACACGATCGGAAAGGCTCCTCGTCCAGGCAAGTGGTTCCGCCTGTCATGGGAGCGGGAGCGGCTAGGGTGGGGCAGGGTCGGAGTCGGATGGTAGCTTGCCCCGCAAGCACATGCTCGGAAAGGCTCCTCGTCCAGGCAAGTGGTTCCGTCCCTCATGACGGCGACACAAGATGATCGGGTTTTTTTGCAGCACGATTTTGTTTCCCGGGCTTCGGCCCCCCCAGGTTCCTCGCAGCTGATTACCATCCCCCCAGGTTCCTCGCTACCTTTTGGTCCCCCAGGTTCCTCGTAACCTCCCCCACCCTCTGTTCCGTCTATCGCATCTCATGCCGTAGATCCAGGTGTTGTACGTCGTGTTATATTTTCAGACACACCCCCGGTTGCGCTCCCCCCCCGTTCCCTCGAAAACTGCTGCACCCTCGTTTACCGCTTCCCATGCTGTAGATTCGAGTGCCGTGCACCATTTCGCGTCCTCGTACCAAAACCCCACTTCGGCCCTCGTGCCGGTACCGAGTGCTCCTCGTGCCCCCCTTCGACCCTCGTGCCTGTACAAGGTGTTACTCATGTTGTACCGTCTTGGGACCATGTTCCGCCTGCTGTTCCTTCGGTTGCAGCTGCCGCACCCCCTGTCGTTTCAGATGATCGTGCCTTGCCGCTTTCCTCAACTGTTGCATATGCGCGTCACGCCACGGTACATGCGGCTGCCTCGGCTGCCCGCGATGCTCACGTTTTTACAGTGCAACGATCGTTCATCACCCTTAACTTAAAAAAAGTCGAGAATGTTGCTACCATGCCCTTCCCTTCAACACTGTTGCCTGGGGACGGCTACCAACAGCTCATTCGCACCACATGAACGGCCTGGTCCGACATTTTGTTGCTGTGCGATGAACAAAGCGAAGGGTTGACTAATGGTGATTTCGTGCGTGGGTGGGAACGCCCGCTCAAGAAGATATTGTTAAGCGCAATCACCCCTGACAAGCCCTCCACCGCCGACCTCGTTATTTCTATTTCTGATTACTTTCAGCAAATGCAACGGAGCTTGAATGACGGGTCCACGGAGCCAGAAGCTTTCCAACTGCTGCTGCGTCATCTTGCCGAGCAATTTGACGTTGGAGACCGTCAAGAGTCGTTCTTGCGGCTACAACAGTTTGGCGTGGCGGATAGTACTTCTTTAGCGGATTACCTTCGTGCTTTCCGTTTGTTGGTTCGTCTGTGACTGGTTCTGAACGTACGTTGGCTCTAGTGCATCCATGGTTTTAAAGATAGTGAGAGTTCCGGTCTGCAAACAGTTCCCGACTTTGTCTCCGCTTTGGTACCCTGGTGCTCTGGCCACAGCGGTCACTCCTTTTGTATCGATTGCAGCAATTCGGGAGGCGTTCGCGCCCTTGGCTACCAAGAAAACCCCGGCTATCGGTGGTTCCGCTTATTTTTCGTTGTCTTCGACGCATGGCTCCTCGCAGCCTCGGCGGTCTAACCACCGCGCGTCCACGTCTTCGGGCCAGTGGGCTTCCGGCTCTTCCCAAAACCCGGTAGTGTTGCCCGTTCGTGATGCCGACTCTTTCACTCGTAATTTCAACTCTTGGCCTGCCTCGCAAGCCGATTGGTCTGATGTGTAAGCTGTCACTTCTGGCTTTTGCAACACCGACGACCAATTATTGTGGACCCCTTTGTTAACGCAAGAGAAACGTTCTCGCGCCTTTCGCGAAACGAGGAATCGCTGTCTGAACTGCTCGGGTGAGGATCATTCCATGAAGCATTGCGCTTTAACGTTCAAAAATACTAGTGGGCTGTTGAATGCCAAGTTGGAGAATCTCTAGGGTGATTCCGCTGCTTTTCGGCGTTGCCAAGGTCGCATGCGGTCTTTAGCCCGATCGCAACAACACTCAGGGTAGGCGTTCTTCATCCTCTTCTAAGCGTCGAAACCATGCTGGGAATCACGGGGGTGCTTCCCCCCCGCCACCATCAGTCACAGGCTCGCACCAATAGCCACAACCCAGGAAACGTTTCGGGTAACCACAGCAATACACAACAAGCGTCTGGCAACACCCACCACACTGGTGCTCTGTCCGTCTACTAACCCCACCCACATGCTCAAACCGCCCCTCGGACCGCCTCCAGTATCTTCGGGGACTTCGTCTCGTTCTTCACAAGACGCGCACGTGTCACGTTCTGCTGCTTCTAATGCTGCGGTATTACGCGGCGACAACACTGCTTCGGTACATGTTGTTCCTTCACGTTCTGTTGCGTCCGAGGCTTCGATGTTGCGCACACATAACACTACTCCGGTCCATTTTATCCCTTCCCAACCTAGACTATTGCATCCAGCACTCGGTCCTATGCAAAACCAACCGCGCTTCTGTGTCGGATGTTTCTCAAAGTGTTGATCAAGTCGGCCCTCAGCTCCCAGCTTCCGTCTCTTCTTTACCATCGCACTTGCCGTCTGCGGCCTCTGTTTCTTCGCCTCCCCGGGCTGGTACTCCGTCAGAACCCAACCAGTGTGGCGCGAGTGCGGTCTTGAGGTGCGGGAACAGAATCGTAGGACCTTCGGGGTCATCGAGTGCCGCTCCCTCGTCGGGCACCACTCGCTCGCTCCCCCCGTCGTCCATAGATCAGACGGGCCATAGCCATGCGCTTTGGACGACTGATGAGGTCGCCTGACTTGATTACCTCGGGTGAATCTTCGGATGCGCCCATTTCGTCTGTGCTCGCTTCCGTTGAGGCCACTCCCTCGATTGTTGCACCGGTAGCTAACTTAACTGGTTCCGACCGGCAAGTTTTCGGGTCGAATTCGCCTGGTTTCGCTCGCCTTGTTTCCTTGGTTCCGACCATCGAAAATCCCTTGATCCCGCCACGCGAAATTTCGGCCATGGGTCGTCCTCGCACGCCCCATCTTCTTCGACATCCGCTCGTACAGAGGCACCCTGTTTTAGGCCGTCGCAACCGGCGTCGACAGTATTGACATCACGCCTCCGAAAGGACCCTCCCGAAGTGACCTCCATCTCGCGATACTCGTCACGGGGGAATGGCCACGAGCACAACACTCGGCTCACTTCTTCAACTGACCCGGCCTTGGCAGTCGTTCCCAGCGAAAGCGGCCCGTTGCCGGACACCTCACGAGGCGTCCCGTCGGGTCTAGAATTGGAGTTGTCCCAGCTCCCTGTTGCTTGCCCACATACTGCGAACAATCCGCCTTCGGTCGATTATTCGTCCGTCCCCGCCGCCGCCGGGACCCTTCTCACGGATGTCCACGCCGTTAACAATAACATCGGCGTTTCGCCCGCCGCAGCCTCGCCTGCAACCTCAGTTCCGGCTGATAGCTCTAGATGTGTTCCGGCCTCTGTAGCTCCGGCTGTTTTCGACCTGTCTACCGAGTTCTGTACTCCAGATATGTTTTTCTTTTGGAAACCGCCCTTTCCTTTTCTCAATGAACCCCGTCGACTTTTGTGGTCGACGGCGTTGTTTGTTTGTGTGCTGAGCAGTTTTTTGCTGCTGAAAAAGCTCGTAGTTTTTGAAGATCACCGCGCTTTGCCAAATATCATGCGAGTATCCAACCCTGCTTTACACAAGCATTTTGGTCGCGAGGTTCTTGGTTTCAACCAGTTTCTTTGGGAACAAGAACGCGAAAACATCGTGCTCACTGGCTGTTACGCCAAAATTAGCCAACACTCGGAGTTAAGAGCTCATCTTCTCGGATCTGGTGACAAAATTTTAGCCGAAGCCAGTCCTTACGACTGCATTTGAGGCATCGGACTCCAAGCCGATGACCCCGATGCTCGATTTCCACCTCGATGGAATGGTCTCAACTTGTTAGGTGAGGCCCTTCAACGGGTGCGTGATCTCTTACGATCCAACGCTCCGCCCCCCGAGAGCAGCTTTCGTATGTTGCCATTTGGCGATCACGTTCCGACGTCATCTCTGCACGGCGCCGTGTACGAAGTTAACCCTTCTACCCGTCAGCGCCTACGGACGGCTTCGCACCCTCCATCGACCGAACGTTTCTCGTCTTTCTCGCAATACGCCCGGAATGTTCCGTCCGACAACGACACCGCTGTCTCGGCCTTGTCTCTTGGGTGCATGCACCCCGCCATCTTCTCCCTCCCCTCTGCTTCCGGAGCAAGGTCCGGACTTGGTAGG